CCGATTGAAAGTCAGCAAAATAGATTCAGGGGCCACTAGGCCAGACTGGCCCTGATTAAGCCAAGGATTGAGCTGGACTACGCTGGATTAGGCGGGATTGAGCGGATTCAGCGGGATCATGCAGGATTGGGCTGGTTTTTGACCACGGATAGACCAGCGCCGATGCAAATTCCAGACACCACACGCCAATGAATTACATCCTAATTCAAAAGTTTCGAAGTCCCTGAAAAGTCTCTCCGCAGAAGGGGGAATGGAAGAGGGGGGGGCTTCCAGGGAACTTGGAACCGCTCCACTTTCTGGTTGTTTTGCGCGCGATGGCTTCGAGAGTACAAAACAAAGCCGCAAGACAGCCAACACCACCCTACAGGACAGACCGAGGTAGTCCCGAGAGGACTACGCGGGACTACGCGACGACAGAGAACTCCCAGGACGGCTTCCAGAGAGGCCCAAAGACGGCCGAAGAGAGCCCTAAGACGGCTCATGAGCAGGCCAAGACGGCCCAGGCGCAAGAAGCACCCAAGAGGCCACCAGGAGCCCACAGGACGGCCCAACAGGACCCTTCGTTGCAAAGTGTTTGGCCTCCCACGCGATCGCACTACATCAAAAGGCTTCTACGACAACGCAACCCTGAAGAGAGGCACCCAGGCCACAGAGTGCGGCGGAAGCTGTTGAATACGTCAAGATTATGAACGGGAGCTGATAGTACCCGACGAAGCCATCTCCCTCATCATATTTCTGGAAACTTTCGGCGGCGGCCTAGAAAAATAGTAAGCGAGGACTTCAGGTCGCACGCTTACTCGTCAAGATCTTGCAGGGGTTATGGCGGCTCTGGCTCAAGGTATCGACGCGTTCCGCGTCGTCGCAACGCAGATCGCGACGAGCGCACCTAAACTCGACGCCAAACTTATCCATGGATTGAACCGCGGTCGGCTGCGATCCAGCTTCGCCTGCCCCGCTGCCAAACCCATCTCCTGGGAACGTCGATTTTCGCGATTGGGACGGGATGCGCGGGTGGTGTACTGCAGCTTCGCTGATGCATCTTGGGTTTGATCTGGTCCTCAGTGCCGTACTGCCCGGCAAGATCCTGGTCGCATCGTGCAAGACTAACTCAGAGGAGGGAGAATGAGAAGACGAAGAAAGCAGGGGGAGGAGCAAGGACGAGAGAGGAGGGATGAGGGAAGAGAGATGGCGTATGAGGGGGGGCATGCGAGCAGGAGGAGGCTGAGGCGCACGAGGAGGAGGGCCTGGGGAATGCACAGGGGCCCCCAGCACGCTGCACAAGAGCCCATGATGGCCCACGGCCGCGCCAAGATGCCGCCAGGACGGCCGAGGAGGGGCCAAGCGACTTCGCCAGGACGGCCCGAAGAGGCGTGCAGAACGACACTAGCGACACCAACAAGAGGCACCAACAGACCCCAAGGAGGCCCCAGGAAGCGCACGGGAGGCCCAAAGGGAGGCCCCAAAAAAACCCAGATCGGCGACCAGCCCTGAGCTGTTCTGTGCTCCTCGGCCCGAGATGGTTTCGGAAACGCGCACAGGGCCTCAGATGGCCACAGTTACCGCGATGTAGCAAGCATCGCGCTTGGGCCCAAAAACGGGGCGCCAGCTGGGCAAATGAGGACGAGGCGGCGACGGAGAACGAAGAGGGTACGAATCAAGGGCGGCAAACAATAGCAAAGAGTCGCAGGGAGGGGCTCCAGGAGCATCAGAGAGCACCACGGTGCGGCAGTGAGCGGCACAGATCACGAGGTGGCGGAAGAGAGCAGCACGAGGCAGCATTCGTACTCATTCGCACTACATCGCACTCATGCTCAGACGCCCACACAAGAACTACCAAAAACCAATGTGCACACACGGGGTTCTCCGCGTCGAACAGTTTTTCCAGGATCGCCTGCCCCCGGGCCCGCGGGAGGTCTCCAGAGGCCCAACTTGGGCCAGGAGAGCATGCCTTCGCGACCTGTCCGTGCCGCCAGGCTCAAGTGAGACCCTGGATCCCAAAAAAAACTGACGTGAGCCACCCGCCGGCTTCTGCCAGCGGGGCCGCCGCTGCCTTCTCCAGACATTCGACGTCGCGCCATCTTCGCAGCGTGGCTCCCCGGAGGCCCTCGGGACCGCCCAAAAACGACCCAGGACGAAAAAGCCTGCCCCTGAGAAGTGTTGGCGGCGCGCACGAGGGGGTAGGGAGGGGGAGGAGGGGGGAAGCCTGCTTCGATGAGGCTGCTTTTTGGAAGGCGCGGGCCTCGTATTTAGGAGCAGGGCCCGCGCCTTCGAAGCAGAGGGGGTGCTACTAAGAGGCCCTCCCCCCTCCCCCATGACCCCCTCTGCGCGTGGCTCGGCGGTGGACAAACCTCCCTTTAGTAAACCTCCCCTTAGTGAAAACGGCCTGGGACCGAAACCGACGGACCTGGACCCACAAAGATGACGGCCGCGAGGCCCTCCTGCGAACCGAAAACGGCCGATTCCTTCATCGACGTGTCAGGGTAGGAGGTCTATCCACCCCCGAGTGGCCGAAACAGAGCGGCTGCTCGGCGAAGCAGGCACACGGGCGGCAGGGGCGGCGGGACAGACGGGGGGAGGGCCGCGGACGGCCGCGGGCACCCTCGGAGCGCAGAGCGCTTCGGGGGCTGCGCCAGAGCAGGATCCAAGCCCTGCAGCCGTCGGCGCGCACCGGGCCCAGACACCCGACACCGTGGCGTTTGTCACAACTGAAGGGGCCCCCAAACACACAAATAGATACACACACACACAAATAACAGGAACCCCAACATTCTTCCACAGTTTCTGGGCTTCTGCCTTCCCCCCCCCACTTCCCACAGCTTCCCATATGTTCTGGGGAATCGACGACGATCTGTGTCTGTGTGTTCCTTCCCCTCCGGAACCCGACGCCGCGGGCTTTTTCACGGCGGGGACCACAGGAGGTCACCGCCCCATTCCCGGCGACGGGCTCTTTCGGGGCCCGATGGGGGCCCGATGGGCAACAACGCTCCCAGCGAGGTCGTCGCCGTCGTCGTCGTCGTCGTCGTCGTCGTCGTCGTCGTCGTCGTCGTCGTCGTCGTCGTCGTCGTCGTCTGACACACAAAGCATCCCGAAGCTGGGAAAAAACACCAAGAGCCAGAGACAACGCCTCGGAAGAAAGCCCCAAAACCAGGCCCCTGGGGCCCGATAGGGGCCCCTGGGCTCCCCGACCCCTCCCCCGAGGGTAGCTCTTCGTTCGCGACCCATTCTTGATGGCCTCGTGGCCCAATAGGCTATTGGGCCACGAGGTCGCGCGCTGACGCCATCGAGGGAAACGCCCCCCCCCCCATGAGCGCTGGGGGCGCGGCGGCATGCGCTGGCCCATCTCCCCTCTCCGCGCGAAGAAGAGACGCAAGCGCGGGCGCGCCCTGGGCCCGCCGCGGACATCTGCCCAGAACGCCCCCCCAAGTACGCGGTGGGTTCGGTCCCGATTGGTTTGTTGGTATTGAATAGCGGGCCCCAGAGGCCAGAATCGACGATAAACTGCGGGACTGGAAGAAACATCGTCGGAGATCCGGAACTACGGCGGCGGCGGCCGGACGGCCATCGGCGGCGCGAACGAGTGGGTGGCGCCAGGGGTCTAGAAGCGCATGGGGTTTCTTCGAAGGCAGGGGCCTGATCAGAAGCGCCCAGAAGCTTCTATGGACGAAAAAGCAAACGACACCACCCCACCTACGGCCCCGCGGGCCTTAGCATACACCATGAATTCCGACTCGGGTTTTTGCGTGGCATACGCTACGGCCCCCGATGGGCCGTAGCGCAACATTGAGGGCCGTAGGTGGGGGTGGTGTCGTTTGGTTGTTGGTCGATTCTAGGAGGGCTTCTCGAAGCCTCCAGAGCCTTCTGAGAAGGCCCCGGCCTTCTAAGAAGCCCCCCCGCCTTCACAGCAGGCACCTCCTCCCCCGGGTGCCACCCAGCAGCGCAGGGGGGCGCGAGCGCGACTGCAGAGCCAGCGGGCCGCGCGGGGCACTGGACGCTCTGGAGGCGGCCGCGGAGGAGGACGGGGGGGGGAGGGAGGCCCAGACCGTCCACCGTGCCCAAACATCCGACGCCGTGATTTTTCTTGTTCACAGCGTGGCTCCCAGGTGGTCTGCACTCCTGCCCCAGGACCAGCTTTCCATCCTGAGCCGTTGTTGGGCGATCCGGGGGGCCGTTGGAGCCCCCTGGAGTCTGGAAATGAGCAACAATCCCCCGCCGTGATTTTTACCACGAGACGACCCTCTCATCTACAGGCGGATCGCCTTTAAATCGCAGCGTTTGAATAACATCGATTTCCCACGCAAACAGTGCAACGCCAGGTCCCGTGGGCGCGACGCCAACCACGCCAGAAGGCGGGGGGTTGACGGCGCGCACAAGGGGGTAGGGGAATGGGGGAGAAGGCGCCTTAGACCTTAGACGGAGGCTGCGTCTTAGAAGGCGCCGGCCCTACATCTATAGACAAGGTCCGGGATCTCTGAAAGGCAAAGGTGCTTCTGAGAAGCCCTGCCCCCTCCCCCATACCCGTCGGTCGGAAGAAGTAGGTGAAAGCATGAAGTAGGCAGGCGGACAATGTAGATTTGACTCGGGCCCGCCCAAAGAAGAACAGAAGACAACAAACACGGATCGACCCTTGAAGTAGGAAGGCGCTTGAAGTAGATTGGGATCTCGGAGTCCAAACAACCCTAATAGATCTTTGGGCAACCCCCCAAGTAGGGGGTAACTAATTATTTGTTCGGCAGCCTTATTGAAGGCCTAGGGTCCCCCAACTGGGGGTGACTAATGTTCCGCGGCACCCGCCGCCCAACAACGACGACGACAGCTACGGAGGAGGAGGAGGGAGGAGGAGGAGGGAGGAGTAGGAGGCTGTAGGACCAGTCCGATTCACCGCCAAAAGAAAGAGAGGAGAACTCCTTCCAACAACTGGCGTGTACCCGCCTCTGCGCGTGGCTGAAAAGGGGGGGAGACCGCGGACGAGGGGGGCGGCTCCCCAGGCCCCGCACGCGCGCCCCGGCGCATGTCCTCGCCGCCGAGGGCGACAGGCTCCTTCGCGGGGGGGGCAAGGAGGGAGAGGAGGCGGGGAGAGGAGGGAAGCACGGACGGAGAGAGGGAGGGAGGGGAGGAGGGAGGAGGGACGGAGGAGTAGGCCGGAAGGGAGGGAGGGAGGGAGGGACGGACCCTGAGACTCTGGCGTCGCAGAGTTGTTACAGCAGGCGAGTGTGTCTGTGTTCGGGCCCCAGGACCCTCACGGATATCTATCCGGCTCGAAAAATGCAGCAAAAACATGAGGTCTAGGGCTCTGGTCGAATTTTCTACAAAGTTGCATTGTGTTCGTGGCGTCGGATCTTACAGGAGGCAAATGAGAAGAAGTGACGAGGAGAGGAAGAGAAAAGAGAGAGATAAGGAGGAGGAGGAGGAGGAGGAGGAGGGCGACGAGGAGGAGAACGACGAAAAGGACAAGGAGAAAGAGAAAGGGAATAGGAGCACGGAGGAGCAGGGAAGAGGGTCCAGCATTTCCACGCCATGTGTTACGCAAGGGTACTGTGCACGCGTAGACGCGTAGAGCCGAACTTGAAAAAAAGGAAACGCACGTGTACCAAATCAAACACGGACGGCCAATTACACGCCAGGCGCCCGCGGCAGTTACATCCTACTTGCCATGGGAACCACCAGACGGCATTGCACGATTGATGGGAGAAACTTGGGCCATACCAAACACAAGCGGGGGTACTGAGCAGGCCGTTCCATAATACTAGGCTTTAGCTCTGCTCAGCGCCTCCTCGTCCTCCCCCCCTCCTCCTCCTCCTCCTCCTCCTCCTCCTCCTCCTCCTCCTCCTCCTCCTCTTCGTCCTCCTCCTCCTCCTCCTCCTCCTCCTCCTCCTCCTCCTCCTCATCATCATCATCATCATCAGCATCATCATCATTCTCCTCCTCTTCGCACGTACCCCGGGGCGCTCAAAGCCTATCCATGCTCACTAATCTCAGCCTACTGCAGCATCTGCGCACGCGCTGCACGCGCCATACTTACGAGAGGCGAATGAGAAATATCAGATTGGCAACAAATATTGTAAAGATAAAACGAAATGGTAAGACGCTGGCCAGCCAAATCCCGTTTGTCGTCACTCAGCGACCGGGCAAGGCCCAGGCGTTTGTCGAGAGGGAGGGGAACAGGGGAGGCAGGCCACCAAACCTCCTCGATCACCTTCCACAAACGCGGGCAACTCACGCAGCGTCGGTGGGAGTCGAAAGCAGACGAATCGGCGCAGCCAAACTTACACTGACAAACGCGCTGGGTCATCCGTCCCTCCGCGGCCCACCCCCCACCCAGAGTCTTCAGAATCGACATCTGCCGGGAAGGAGGTGCGAAGAGAAGCCGCGCCTTCAGGTCATGCCAGCTGATATCCCGCAGTTCCTGCTGCGAGAGAGGGCGAGAGGACCACCTGGACACACGCTTGATGCAGGTCGCATCAAAGGTTATTCTGAAAGAGAGACGAGCCTAGGAACGAGAAAACGCGCGTTGGGTCTTGGTCTTCGGCTCAGCCTGCTGCGCCTCACAGGCAGCAAGAACGGCCGCACAAACAGGGCCCCTCAGCATCTTCGAATCGGTGAATCCAGCCTCGGCGACCGCATGCTCTTAGACGAAAGGGCCGCGTTTCCAAAAAGAGGTGCCCACTGACCTTGTACCCACAAGACAATCGGGCGAGACTCCTTGGCCTTCTCCTGCAGAAACTGCCACAACCTGCTCCCAGTTCCAATGGCTTCCTCGGCCCAGCTTGGACCCTGGCTTCCGGCTCCAATTTCCACAGCGTCGCCACAGCTTGGACCCTCATAGACAATGGTCGCAGCTTGGCCCACTCACGGAAGTGGAGGAGTTGGAAGCAGGGGAACGTGAACGGGAGGGGATGGGGAATCTCGTGCGGAGCCCATGATTCCCATCTGAAAACCGCTTATGGCAAGGGCGCGAGCTGGCACAGGTAACTGACTTTGGAGACTTGACGGGCATTGTAAAGTCTCACCGATACCGAGGGGGCAGCGTGCTGCTTAGCTATAGATTGAACGACACCGACCCACTCGCGAAACGACCGCGACCACATTTCATCTTTAACAGCAGGCCCGATCCACACCCCAAAGTATTCCGCCAGGGGACAGATGCCCACGCCCTACCACCGCGAAACCAGATTGGACAGGAGTGCAAAAATTCGCAGACAGAGTGACCGAGCGAACCCTCCTTCGAGTGGCACGATACAGCACTTCGGAATCTTTAATTGAAGGCCCGCGAGAACCTGTGCGGCATTAAAAAAAACCCGGGGCTTTCGTGAGCGCCTTTATTTTCGACAACTCCAACCCAATGTCGTCCGCACACACTCCCGTCTCCGACCCGGGACTCTTGTTGAGGCGCTCGCGGAGATCGTGCAACAGCGGGTCCATTTACAATGTCCGGAGCGATCCCGACAGAAGGTCCCCTGGCATTACTCCTGGGCAAATCACGCAGAATGGAAGGAAAGCACCCACGAGCGAGACCGGCGCACAAGCACGCATGCATGCGGCACGCACAAAAGCACAGAGACCTGCAGGCACGTCACAGCGCTGGAGGATGGCCCAGAGGAAGAGGTGACCGAAGGAGGGAAAGGTATTGCCGAAGTCGAGGAAGAGAAAAAGGAGGGGGCGGGAGGACGCTTGGGGACGCGTGCTAGCCACGCGCGCCGACACGTCCAGGAAAGTAACGTTCTCGAGATAATTCCCACCTGGAACGAATCCGCGCTGATCTGGGTGCGCCTGAGTAGGGAGTGCCCGCTTGATCCGGTTATCCACTGCAGCCGACAGCACCTTAACATCAGCACTTTTGAGCGCGAGTGGTCCGGTCGTCGCAGGCTCTCTCACCACGCGGGCTGGATCCTCGAGACATTTCCTTCGGGGGCAAAGACGAGAAGCAATTCGTGGAGCTCCGTTGGCGGCGGCCGATCTGCCAGCAGCTCGAGGAGGAGATCGTGGAGGATCGAAATGAAAATAGGGTGCTGCTGCCATGCTGCATACGGTAAGCCGTCTGGACCAGGCGCCGCCGGCTTGGCCCGCTCCAGAACACACTGAATATGACGCCGAATGGGGGGGGCAACCTCCTCCCAGCTAAATGCGCGCATATGTCCTCCTGAGTAGCGCCCCGCGCGTTGCATGGGGCCCTTAGGAGGCAAAAACAAGGGGCCCAGTGGCCCCTCGGGGTTTTGGCCACGTCAGGTGGGGAGGAGACGAGGGCGCCACTTGGGGCCTCGAGAGCCTGGAGAAGGAGCGACTTGCGGATGCACGCACGCGCGCAATCGCCTGCGTTCCTGCAAAATCCCACCAGCTCTCTGGGCGTCGGTGGTTTAGGGCGTTTCCTCTTCCACCCCTCCTTCTCCCCCTTCGGGGAGGGGTTTATCACTGTTCCCTATTAATATACACCCCCTCCCCCGCGACTGGGGGCCAACCAGGGTCCATGCCACCCCCCCCACCATCCCTGGTAAAAAACAATACACAACACACTCTGCCTCCAAATTCGGAACATGCGCAGCCAACCCGATGCGGCCCCCCCACCACCATCCCTGTTAAAAAACCATAGAGAGTACACTTGGCGGCGGCGGCGGATGCGGCGGCGGCGGCGGCGGCGGCGGTGGCGGCGGCGGCGGCTGCGGCGGCGGCGGCGGCGGCAGCGGCGGCGGCGGCGGCAGGCGGCGTCGGCGGCGGCGGGCGGCGGCAGCGGCGGCGGCGGCGGCGCGGCGGCGGCGGCGGCGGCGGCAGGCAGCGGCGGCGGCGGCGGCGGCGGCGGCGGATTGGCCCCCAGTAGCTGCCCATCCAAAGACGACTGCTGAATATGCTGAGGCTCGGGCCAGACTCGGGTGCTACATATGTGTTGGGAGGGCGGGTGGGAGTGAGCGAGACGGCTTGCGGGCGGGGAGGGGGTCTTGACCCCTCCCCCGACACCCTCCCCGTGGACCTGGAAAGGGGGGGGGCGCGAGGTGTCAGAGCATCCACAACGGCTTCGGTGAAAAAGCCAAAAGCATTGATTTTACCACGGTTTTGGCCCCATGTTGGCCTCCTCGGGGGGGTCGCTACTTAATGCCCCGCACTTATTTCATAGATCCCTTTCCAAGATGGCCCCAAGAAGCGCTGAGGAGGCCCCGAGAGGTCCCAAGATGGCCCCAAGATGGCCAAGAGGCCCCCCGGAGGCCCCCAACAGACCCCCAAGAGGCCCCAAGAGACGCACGCAAGATGCTCCAAGAGGCCTCGGCGAAAATGCCAAACCACTGATCCCACGAAGGTTTTAGCCACATGTTGGCCTCTTGGAATAGAGCACTGATTGAGATGACTCCAAGAGCGCCTGGGGGAGCCCAAGATGACCTCCAAGATGGCTCAAGATACCCCAAGATCTCATAATGGTTTCCTCTGGGCATAGTTTCTGGATGGGCTGGTGGGGATTTGCGAAGCGTCAACGATTTAGACTGCTTCTCCTCTGTCGTGGCCTAAGAGATGCGAGACCCATGAATCTGCAGCTGGAATGCACCAAACTCCGGGCGGAATAATACGGGGCAGATAAGCGAGATAGTCTCCGAGCCATCCTCGCCCTCACAAGCAAACTTCTGAATGCGCATGTGAGCTGCAGCAGATGGGGCCGAGGCAAGTAGCTTCGAGACAACAAAACATCATTCCTATTGACGGCGCGAGCAATCGAACGGAAGATCTGGAGTTCCGTCTCCAGCTCAAGGGCCGGGACTCGGATGAGTGAGTTACGGGCCATACGCGCCGCTTCTCGGAGAAGTCTCGCATACTCACGCCACCTGGGGACAGGAGGGAAGGAGCCCAGGGGAGAGTGCGACTAGAGGGGGGCGAGGTAGTGTCTGAAGGCAGGTGATTGGCAAAGAAATCGAGTAACCTCCTGCTGCTCAGCAGGCTTGGCTGGGCGCGACGCAAAAGAAGCCTTCACTGGACCATGGTCCGAGATCCCCATTTCGTACAGATGCTCCGGCGTGGCCATAGCCACCGCTGAGATTTTCCACTGGACCAGCAGCCAGGCC